ATCTACAGATTTAATGCAATACCCATCAAATTACCAGCAACATTCTTCTCAGACCTAGAAAAAACAACGCAGGAATTCATATGGAAACACAAACAAGCCGGGCTCAGTGGCTCAGCCTGTAATCCCGCACCTTGGGAGGCTGAGGTGAGTGGATTGCCTGAGCCCGCAGGTTCGAGACCCACCCGGGCAACTTGGCGAGACCTCATCTCTACAATAAATCAAAATTTAGCCAGGCGTTGTAGCACGCACCTGTAGTTCCAGCTACTTGGAAGGCTGAGGCGGAAGGATCGCCAGAGCCCAGCAGGTCAAGGCTGCAGTGGCCAGGAGCAGCCACTGCACTCCAGTCTGGGTGACAGAGTGAGACTCCAACTCAAAAGAAAAGAAAAGAAACACAAACGACCAAGAATAGCCAGAACAATCCTCAGCAAAAAAAAAAAAAAAAAAAAAAAAAAACCAGGTGGTATCACATTACCAGACTTCAAACTTTACTATAAAGCTACAATCATCACAACAGCTTGGTATTGGTACAGGAAAAGGTATATAGACCAATGGAATAGAATTGAGCTTCCAGAAGCAAAACCTCAATTTCTCAACCAACTCATCTTTGACAAAGCCTCCACCACCTACTACTGGGGAGAGGAGAACCTATTCAGGAAATGGTGCTGGGAAAACTGGCTGACCACATGCAGAAGATAGAAACAGGACCCCTATCTATCCCCATACACAAAAATTAACTCTAAATGGATCAGAAACCTAAATGTAAAACCTCAAACCATAAGAACCTTAGAAAATGAAGGACATACCCTCATGGAAATTGGAACTGGCATCCAATTCCCGAACAAAAACTGAAATCCATAGGCCATAAGAGATAAGATAGACAAGTGGGACCTCATTAAACTGACAAGCTTCTGCAAAGCCAAAGAAACCATCAAGAGAGCAGGGAGACAGCCTACAGACTGGGAAAAAGTATTTGCCAACTCCAGGTCTGACAAAGGCTTAACATCTTGGATCTACAAGGAACTCAAACGTGCTGAAAAGAAAAAAACAAACAACCCCATTATAAAATGGGGAAAAGATATGAACAGACACTTCACAAAAGAAGACATCCGAGCAGCCAACAGACACATGAAGAAATAAATGTTCAACCTCACTAATCATCAGGGAGATGCAACTCAAAACCACACTGAGATACCACCTAACTCCAGTCAGAATGGCAATTATCAATAACTCAAAAAATAACAGTTGCTGGAGAGGGTGGTGGTGAAAAGGGAGCACTTATACACTGTTGGTGGGAGTGCAAAGTAATACAACCTCTGTGGAAAACGTGTGGCGATTCCTAAAAGCTCTAAATATTGACCTCCCATATGACCCGCAATCCCCCTACTGGGAATATACGCTGAAGAACTCAAATCACTCTATCAAAAAGATACCTGCACATGTATGTTTATCGCAGCATTGTTCACCATAGCAAGAACCTGGAAGCAACCATGCTGTCCGTCAAAAGAGGACTGGATTAAAAAAATGTGGCACATATACATGATGAAATACTATGCAGCCATAAAAAAGAACCAAATTATGAATTTCGCAGCAACCTATATGGAACTAGAATCTACAATACTGAGTGACCTCTCACAGAAACAAAGATCTGAGTATCACATGTTCTCACTCATATAGTGGACCTTGATCATCCAACGTATTACCCTAAGAAAATGACTGATAGTGGTGGGAAACTATGAGGGGGTAGGGAGGGGAAGGGAGAAGGGATTAATGGTAGTAAACATCTGTCTAGGGATGGGGAGAGACCTCTTATCAACAAGGGTGCCTGAATGAAGCATATTTGTATGCCGAGCCCTTAACTGTACCCCACAATATCATAACAAAAAATATTGATTATAAAAAAAAAAGAATTCTGTTTCTCAAAAAATCACAGGAGACTGAGGAACACTCTATATACTTATAGCAGAAAAAAGAAAATCTCTCTTCTGGCCAACACAGGAGGTGGGTTTCACTCTTCCCATCACAGACACAGAGCTCACCCCAAAGCACACAATGTAGCCAGGCCTCTGGAACATTCCCCGCTGGACTCAAAAACACAGCACATATTCACTGAGTTCTAAATCTGTACAGGGCAACAGCATGATACAAAATTAATATTCTGCCCTCATCCTTGTGAAGGCACATTCACTCTTTTGAGGAAGGCTACTTCCAATATGTTCTGTCAAAAACATGCCTTGGAGCCAGATTCCATGGCTCAGCCTGTAATCCCAGGGCTTTGGGAGGCTGAGGTGAATGGATTGCCTGAGCCTGCGGGTCCGAGACCCGCCTGGGCAACTTGGCGAGACCTCATCTCTACAATAAATAAAAAATTAGCCAGGCATAGTAGCATGCACCTGTAATTCCAGAAGGCTGAGGCGGGAGGATCGCCAGAGCCCAGCAGGTCAAGGCTTCAGCGGAGCGGCCACTGCACTCCAGTCTGGGTGACAGAGTGAGACTCCAACTCAAAAAATATATATATGCCTTGAAAATACTGTTCACTGCTCACATTTCAGGGAAAGCCAAATCCAGTGGTCTTACAGAAATTATACCTTAGATATTAAGCATTCATTTTCTGCACTAGTCAGCCATCCTTCTGCTGCTATGACGACGGATATTCTTTAACGTTACAAGGCTGGGTGAGGATGAATTGCTGTATTATTGCTTAGGAAGTCTTACGCTATTTTTCTTTTTTCTTTTTTTTAAGAGATAGAATCTCACTATGTTGCCCAAGCCGGTCTTGAACTCCTAGTCTCAAGAGATCCTCCCACCTCAGCCTCCCAAAGTGCTGGGAATTCAGGCATGAGCCACCATGACTGGCCCATTATGCTACTACTTATCATTAAGGTTTGCTAAATCTGTTTCATTAACTTATTTTAAAGATGGTCAGACCTTCTTAGAAACAAAGAGTAAAAAATACCGGTTTTATATGTTTAAAGCCCAGAAACCAAAATTCAAGAGACACCCTAAGATTTTTTGATCCATCAGAGGCAGCAAGGTAAAAAATCCTAAAACCATCTCATTTTGCAGCTCGGTTTCTCATATCAATACTACTATGTCACTTGTATCAAGTAATTTAATTTCAAGTCAGTTTAATCCAGTGCTATTTCACAGCAAAGAGCCAGAAACATCTGGAAGGGAAAAATATTAACATTGGTGTGTGATTCAATGGAACCTTTTAAAAACAGATAGGAAGAGGCTGGGCATGATGATTCACACCTGTAATCCCAGCAGCTTGGGGGGCTGAGGCGGGAGGAGTGCTTGAGCTCAGGAGTTGGAGACCAGCCTGGGCAACACAGCGAGACTCTGTCTCTATGAAAAACAAAAAAAAATTAGCTGGGCGTGGTCACACGCCTGTAATCCCAGCTACTAGGGAGATTGAGGTGAACGGATCGCCTGAGTCCAGGAGGTTGAGACTGCAGTGAGCTGTGATTGTGCCACTGCACTCCAGTTTAGGCAACAGAATAAGACATCAACTCAGGAAGGAAAAAAAAAAAACAGATAGGGAGGATGGAATGTAAGACACAGAACTTGGCCTCACCTCCGTCTGCACCATTAAAGGTCTGTGCATTCGAAGGTCATACACAATCCCATACACATCCACAGTGCTCTCATTCTCTATCTGGTAGATAAGACGATCAATGGCAATGAAAGTGCCTGTTCTTCCAACCCCAGCACTGAAAAGAAAGGGAGTGAGCACATGACAGTGTGTTACCTCTACCGCGATCCTCTCGAATCCCCCATTGGTGCAGACACCTTGCCTTCTTCCACCCTCACCCACTGAGGGCAAGGCCCAGGATCGGTAAACACTTGCGCGACTGAAACCCCTGCAAGTCAGACTAGCCTGGGACTGAGGCCTAAGTCCCAAACTGACTCCAAGTCAGCTACCACAGACAAGACACCTGGCGAGAGCTCCTTAAATCTCACCCCCACTCAAGTTGCCACCATAACCCAGGATGGGAAGTCTCGTCAATGAGTTCCCCACAGGGTAGCCGAGGCCCTCCTTTCTTCTGTCTTAAATTAATTCCTTTAGCTTCAAAGGTAACTTCTCGTTGTCTAGACTAAGGGGTCAGCAAACATGTTCTGTCAAGAGCCAGAGAGTAAGGATCTTCAGCTTTGCAGACCATATAGTCTCTTTCTGCCACCACAGCACGAAAGCAACCATAGCAAGACATAAGTAAAGGAACACGGCTGTGTTCCAGTAAAATTTTATTTACAAAAACAGGCAGCTGACCAGATTTGGCCCACGGGCTACCGTTTGCCAACTCTTGTTCTAGAGTCTCGGGACTTAGGGAGTGAGTCCTTACCCAAACCTCTGTTGATGTCATTAGTGCCTGCCGCATTCCCCCTTACCTATGCCTTGTTTTTGTAAAGTGCTCATAGATATGCAATTATGAAACCTGTTACACATGACGTGCCATTCACATACCTGCAGTGCACCAGAATTGGCGATTCTGGGGGACTCTGCTTCATATAGTCACGAACAAGGTACCGAAAGTTGAGGAGCAGGTCAGTGGTGTCAGGAACGCCGTGGTCTGGCCAGGAGGTGAAATGGAACTGTCGTAGAGGGTGACTCTCACTTGTCAGGATCTAAAAACCAAAAAAAGGTTAGATCCAGAGAGAAAGGAGGCCTGCCCAACAACAAAAAGACAAGGGAAACCAAACAGAGCCTGTGTTCTCACCAGGAGCAGTGATGATGAAAAATTAGAATTCTAGAATTCTACCTCTGCACAACAGCTGATAACAAGCTTACACAGATGTTATCTTGCTCATCAAACCCTCATAATACTCCCAAAAGGGGGGCTTATTGCCTCCCTTTAATATGACACAGCAGAGACTCAGAGAAGTGGCGTGACTTCCTCGATACTGATTTAATGTGGCAGATATCGCGTGTCCTCCAATTCTGAGTTCGGATGGCTTCCCTTCCCCCCCACAGCTGCTAGCCAATAACCTACTCACATTCTTACACCTGCACCTCCTGAGAGCATCATAAGCCCCATCCCCGATTCCACCTGGGAACGTCACGGACCATAAAACCAAAAATAATTTACACAAGCACAAGCAAGAAGGACCTCATAATTCACCATGTCCTCCAGAAGATCTAATAAAGGATCAGGCCACTAGCAAGTCAATACTTAGAACTGCAAAGGGTTTGAAAAAGGGCCCCACCCACCCAAAAAAGCCATCCATCTCCACATCTGACAGACAATCGAAAGTGGACCAGGTTATAACAGAGTTAGTTATTCCACAGGCTAACTTCCTACCTCAGACCAAAGCAGGCACCTTCAATGGCCAGAACGCCACACCGGCTGGGGCCAGGCCGGTCCCTGACCCTACTGTTCTCATTATGCCCATATCCGGGGACTGACTTTACCCGTGTGACCTATGTCTGGGCTGCAGGCATTTACATCTCCTTCTGACAGCCATCCTTTGACACTCATGATTTTAAAACATATATTCACTCTAAAAGCAGTGAATTTACAGTATTTGAAATTTGGAAAACAGCAAGGAAAAATGGGGGAGAGAAGAAGGAGTGGAAGGTCTCCTCGCAGATAAACCTCACAGCCACAAATTTCACCAAAAGTACTCATCCGAAGAGAGATGAGGCATGTGGGGGATGGGGAGAAGAAGGAAGAGAGATGGAGAGGAGAAAAAGGGAGGGAGAGGAGGAGAAGGAGGAAAAGAACAAGTGTTATTCTTGGTATTATCTCTGCTGAGGGGCACGGGGGCTCAGGTCAAGGGTGACAGTCAAAGGAAACTTGTCAGCTGGATCTGAAATGGTCTCATTGTCCAAAGGGAAAATGTATTTGTGTATTTTGTACAATTAAAAAACAATATTTTGGCCAGGCATGGTGGCCTATAATCCAAGCACTTTGGGAGGCCAAGGTGAGAGGACTGCCCGAGCCCACGGGTACGAGACCAGCCTGGGCAACTTGGCGAGGCCTCATCTCTACATTAAATCAAAAAAAGTAGCCAGGCATGGTGGCGTGTGCCTGTAGTTCCAGTTACTTAGAAGGCTGAATCAGAAGGATCGCCTAAGCCCAGCAGGTCGAGGCTGTGGTGGCCGTGAGTGTACCACTGCCCTCCAGCCTGGGCAACAGAGTGAGACTCCAACTCAAAAAAAAATTAAAATAATACTAATAATAATATTTTAGTAAATGCCACGTATCCTGGATCAGATCCTGAAACAGTGGAAAAGCATGAAACCTGAATAAAGTCTGGAGTTTATTTAATAAAAAAGATTAATAGTAATGGCAATTTTTATTGCCAACTCCATCCACAATTCACTTCCACAAGGATAAACCTCAAGCAGCAGAAGCAACCAAGAATAAGCCAGTCAGTTTAGATGGGCAAAGTCTATAGAAATAAGCATGGCCTGGCTAGGCTCGGTGGCTCAGCCTGTAATCCCAGCACTTTGGGAGGCCGAGGCGAGGGGATTGCCTGAGCCCGTGGGTTCAAGACCAGCCCAGACAACTTGGCAAGACCTCATCTCTACAATCAAATAAAAAATAGCCGGGCATGGTAACAGGCATCTGAAGTTCCGGCTACTCAGAAGGCTGAGGTGAAAGAATCACTGGAGCCCAGAAGGTCGACGCTGGGGGGCCGTGCGCGTGCATGCCACTGCACTCCAGGCTGGGCGAAGGAGTGAGACTCCAACTCAAAAAAAAAATGAAATAAGCATGACCTATTTCAAGGGTTTGTCCACTACTGTGAGCTGCATTACTTAGGTGGCCAGATCAATGCGAGATAACAGCTTCAACAGAGCATCTCCAGAAGAGGAACTGAAGTATTAATTGAGGCCAGAATCTTTGAGACAACAGCAATTAGTAAAGAATTAGTACTTAATATACTACACTTTATCCATGACTTACAGTAATCTTCAAGGATAATCTCATAAACGAGACCCTAACCTGCCAATACCCTTAAGAGGCACTCCACTGAATCCAACTCTGGGTTTTTCTTTGATGCACTCTTCACAATATGCAAATTTCACCTCCTCACAGGTTTCCCTTTCATTCTACTCTAACATGTCCCTTTGGAAAACTAAACTCTACATACTCATTCTTTTTAACAGCTGGCCCATGATACAGTAAGCAAGTTATAGTTTAGTTACCCACTCTCCAAAAGCTAAATATTTGCATGGTTTCCGAATTATAAATAAGGCTGGGGTTTATCTTTATGCATAAGAAGCCTTTTCTAGTATTTCTGATTATTTCTTCAGGACAGAGCCTCAAACCTGGAACCACCAGATCGAAAGGAATGAATGTTAGGCCTTTGACATAAGTGACAACAGACTATTCCAGTTTGTACCCATCAGCAGATACCAGTGGCACTTCATGGCACTGCCTCTATCATCAAAAACCCTTAAAAGAAAGAAAAAAGACACATGGACTTGACCTCCTAGAATGCCCACACGATTTTTTTAAATTATTATTTTTATCTTAAAGATATGGGGTACAATTCGGGGTTAGGTATGTAAGTGACCATGCAGGTAAAGTTTGGGTACCCATGGTGATGTTATGTGCCTCCCCCCTCATTCCCCTGGCAGTGTCCAACTACTGCCAATCCCCTTCTTACAGTATTAGGATAAATGTTCAGGGTTTGCTTATGAGTGAGGATGTGTAGTATGCAGATCTTTGTTTCTGTGATAAATCACTGAGTATTATAGACTCTAAATCCATCCAAGTTTGCCTGCACAATTTAATTGGATTTGTTTTTGTAACTTGTGGGGGGCAGGGAAGACATGTCATACACCCTGGAATCCTATTAATGTAACTTATAAACCACTCCTATAGCAAATGGCTGTTCCTGATGCAGTATTTCCAACCAAACAATCAAAAAGGCCATAGTGTATGGATGAGAAATCTATGAGCAAGTCACCTGGAAATGGATGAAAAGGAAAGAATTACTGACACAGAGCCGTGTTCTTTTTTTTTTTTTTGAGTTGGAGTCTCACTCTGTTACCCAGACTGGAGTGCAGTGGCCACTCCCAGCCACCGCAACCTTGACCTGCTGGGCTCCGGTGATCCTTCTGCCTCAGCCTTCCGAGTAGCCGGAATTACAGGCGCACACTACCATGCCCGGGTAATTTTTTGATTTATTGTAGAGATGAGGTCTCGCCTGCCCAGGCAGGTCTTGAACCCGCGGGTTCAGGCAATCCACTCACCTCAGCCTCCCAAAGGCACAGGATTACAGGCTGAGCCACCGAGCCCGGCTAGAGCCGTGTTCTTAAGACTCATTTTATTCAGGAATAATTTATGAAATTCCCCTCAAGAAAGTAAAGCTGAGGGGTTGCCTCAGAATGTATATGGATGTGGATTGTTTTAGTCTATAAAGAAGAAAGCAAAAATATTTTCTGATGCATAAGAAAACAGATTAGTCAGTGCTAATCTAAAAAGTATCACCCCAAAGTTAATGTGTGGTAATTTTATGAGGTCTCCTTGACGTCTTACTCACATTTTTCACAGTGAAATCTCTGATGGTCCATTCTGGAAGGACAATTTCTGATGTCATTGCCACAGTTATGTCCCCGTAGTCTTGAGACTGCTTGGTGGGCCAGTACTCCTCACATTTGGTCTAGGATAAAAATATTATTTTTATAAAAAGACTCATATCACACCATCTGCCATCACTAAAACCTCACAAGGGAGACCAGATATTGAAAGCTGGCATCAGGGACTGAATCATTTCTTTGGTTGGACTCTGTTTAACTCTTAGAATTGTTTTATTTTATTTTCTAGAGACAGGTCTCAGTATGGTACCTAGGCTGGACTCCAACTCCTGGGCTCAAGCAATCCCGCCACCTCATTCTCTCAAGTAGTTGGGGCTACAGGTGCATGCCACCACATCTAACTTAGAATTTTTTTTTTTTAATTTACAATTCTTGGCAACTCTTTTAAAATTAGGAGTGTTCTCCCAAAAATACAGATTTCTGGCTTCTCTTTAAAAACCAGAAGATCAGGCTCTTTTTTCGGCTCCATATAAACTTTAGGATTGTTTCTTCTTGTTTTGTGGAAAATGAAGCTGGTATATAGGGATTGTGTTGCATATGCAGGTTGCATTGGACAGTGTAGTCATTTTAACAACATTGACCCTTCCCATCCATGAACATGGGATGCATGATACAATATGTACACGTAACAAACATGCACTTGTACCCCCGAATCTAAAATTTAAAAAAATTTTAAACCATCAGATCTACCAACCCTAGGCCCTCATTTCTACATGAAAATTGATTTAGAGTCGAGCAGCCACTGTTCCTTGACCTGGAACAGAATCCCCATTCGGTTCTCTTTGGTCCCTGGAGTAGCCATGCCACAACTGTTCGCTGAACTCATCTTCTTGGATTGATTCTTAACCCCAGGCAGCCAGAAGAAATGAAGGCTCTTCCCAATACTTCCAGATATACACCAATTGTAATACAAATACACACATCAACAGAGGACCAAATTAAATCATTTTGGGCTCTTTGATTTCTATAAAGTTGGTGGGCAGATGTGAACAGAAGTAAAAACCAGGATCAACTATTCTCCAAGAATATCCAAATCCCCGTTGGACAAATGATTACACACACACACACACACACACACACACACACACACACTCAGTTTCCCAAAGTGTACTCTGCTGAAGGTGGCTTCCCTAACCTATTGGTGATCTGACTCATCGGAGAACTTTGATTTGTTTTAAAAACACATGCCTGGCTGGGCTCGGTGGCTCAGTCTGGAATCCCAGCACTTTGGGAGGCCGAGGCGAGTGGACTGTCTGAGCCCGCAGGTTCGAGACCTGCCTGAGCAACCTGGTGAGACCTCCTCTCTACAATAAATCAAAAATTAGCCGAGTGTGGTAGCACGCATATGTAGTTCCGGCCACTTGGAAGGCTGAGATGGAAGGATCACCAGAGCCCAGCAGGTCAACACTGGGGTGGCCGTGAGTCTGTGTGCCACTGCACGCCATCCTGGGCGATGGAGTGAGACGCCGACTCAAAAGAAAACAGAAACAAAAAAAACGCACGCCTGAGATTCGGACTCTGGGTATGGGATCTGTAATTTTTTTTAAAAGATCTGGGTTTCTGGACCACTGCTCAAAGGGCCCAGGATATGGAGTTGATGCCTAACCCAGCCTCTTACCAGCTGTATTTTGGCTGCTACCTTGTGGGTAAGTTCTGAAAGGCCGAGCCTCATTTCCTCCATCTAGAAAATAACAATACCTCACAGGGGCACCATAGGAAAGAAACAACACGTATGCAAGTCTACGGCAGAAAATACACCGTCTCCCTTTCTCTTTCACCCAAGGTCAATAACATCTGCTTCTACCCCAACTTAAGATAAACAAGGGCCCATCTAAATTTACCTTAGTGCTCTTCATTTATTTAACTATATTCTTTTTGCTTATCGAACAGATATTTCCAAGAATGCTCCATGTACAAGGCATTGGACTCAACGGTACTTTGGTTTGGTTTTGCTTTCGAGTCGGGTTCTCGCTCTGTCACCCAGGCTGGAGCCCAGTGGCACAATCATAGCTCGCCGCAGCCTCAAACTCCTGGGCTCAAGAGCTCCTCCCACCTCAGCCTCCTAAGTAGCTGTGACTACAGGCACACACTACCTACACCTGGCCAATTTTTTTTATTTTTTGTAGCGACGAGGTCTCACTGTGTTGCCCAGGCTAGTCTCGAACTCCTGAGCTCAAGCAATCCTCCCACCTCGGCCTCCCAAAGGGCTGGGATTACAGGTATGAGCCACTGCGCGAGGCCTGAACTCAAGAGTACTACGAAGTTTATTTACATTCATGAAAAAATACTCTTTCAGTTCCATAACCTGTTCATCAGAAGAGTGCACCAGGATGATGAAAGCAGGAGGTAACGAAGGGAACTCCAACCCTCCGGAGCACAAGCAACATGAAGCTGGGCATCGTCTCTCACTGCTCTTTGCTGTTTTCCTTCCTCCACCCCTAGCCCCTAGCAAGGACCTTACACAAACCGGGGACTGGACGAACATCTGCTAGCTTGAAGTGAAATAAAGAGCGTTAAAAGCAATGATGCCTGATGGTTCCCACTGTCACCTGGGACAGCACCACTCAAAGCACCACTCCTGGAACGGCAGCATCAGTACCACCCGGGAACTGGCAGAAGGCACTTCTGAACTAGAAACTCTACGGGTTGAACCACCCTCTGGGTGACGCTGATGGACCTTCAAGTTTGAGAACCCCTGGCTTAACAAATCAACTCCCCTTCCTCAAGGAACAAGCCTACACATTAAAAAAAAAAAAAAAAAAAACCCACAGAACAAAGTTAGGTTCCATTCCCCGGGCACAGAAGTTTTGAACTGGGCATGTGTTTTTCAATTCTCTTTGTATCCACGTAAAGAAACATGGACCTTTATGAACGGAAGAAATCTTATATTTGATGGAAGTGGCAGAGGGACTCCAAGCTACCACAGGGGAGAGGGGACCGCTGAGACTTAGCTAGGGACAGTCTGAGATTTTGCTTACAGAAAGGGCTCCAGTGCTAAAAACCCCAGTTTGAAAAATCGCCACGTTGACGAATGAATCCCTAGACTCAGAGGCGAAGCTGCTGACTGCTTAGAGATGTGAGGGGCTTTGCCCACATCCACAGAGCCAGTGAAGGATGGAGATTCTTGGAGAGCGGGCCTGTATGATGCCCCTGGGCCCGACCCCACTCCCGCTCTTTGCTGACTTCAGCAGTGGCAACTTAGTAAGTACAGGGCACTGATATTTAGCCACAGTAAAATGTAATGACAAAACAGAATTTTTTTTAAGTTTCATAAAACTTTTTTCTTAAGGGGGAAAAAAAGACAGAAAACAAGTTTCTAGGAATAAAGGTGCTAATGTCTGCGGGAGAATGTTGCTTTTGTTTTTTGGTTTCGGGGGGTTTTTTTTGAGTCAGTCTTACTCTATCACCCAGACTGGAGTTCAGTGGCATGCTCACGGCCACTGCAGCCTTAGCCTGCTGGGCTCAGGCGATCCTTCCACCTAAGCCTTCCAAGTACTGGAATCACAGGTGCATGCCAACACACCTGGCTGATTTTTTTCTGATTTACTGTAGAGACAAGGTCTCGCCAAGTTGCCCAGGCTGGTGTTCAACCCCTGGGCTCAAGCAATCCTCTCACCTCCACCTCCCAAAGTGCTGGCATTACAGGTGTGAGCCACCACACCCAGCTAAGAGTATTGTTTTAAAGAGACAAGTGGTTCTTAAGATGCCCTTCCACCACCATAAAAAGTAATTAATTTGATTTTATTTCAAAATTTTAAAAATAGAAAAGTTGCACCGAGTATGCAAAAACATAAATAAATAATAGAAAAAAATATAGAAAAGATACTTACCCTTCCCTGTTCAACACACTTGGTCAACATAATAACAGCATATACATTTTTCTCCCAAACCATACGCCAAAAATCTTTCAAAGTGTTAGGTAAAGGTCCTTGTGTGGCAATAAAATCTTTCTTGGAATGGTAGCCCTAAAAATGGAAAACAACGCACATTCAACCTCAAAGAAACAGAGAGGAATGCTCTGAAGATTCCATGAGAACATTCCAGTGCTGTGAGCCCATCCCCCCACTTACAGGCATGTAATTGGCATTGATGTAGTCGTCCGTTGAATGGGTCTGGACTGAAAGTTTGACTCGGGAAATGTCATCTGTGACATTGAAAGAAAAAAGGTCCTCATTATAAGCAAAGGTTTTAGGAAAGTTGTACACAGGAGAGAAAAAAGAAATATAAATTTCAACAGTGGAACTTGTGTCTTTGAAGATGCACAGCATGGCATTTCACCCCGATGACCTCATTAAATCCTCAGGGCCACCATATGTGACTGTGACACAGAGAAGTCACATGTCACTCACTCTGGTGAATGGCAGGGTCAGAACTGGAACCCGAGCAGCCTGACCCCAGGGCCCAGGCTCTTCACCACACCAGACCCCTTCTCAGATAGAACGAACCTGTTACTAGTAGCCATTTTATTTATTCTTCAAACCACCATGCCAGCCTTTACCTTGTTTTACAAATGAGGAAACTGAGAAAATGCTGAATCTGAACAGAAGCTAATGTTTTGGTCCAGGAAAGAAAAACATAGCTTTAAATGAAAAAGAAAATATCCTAGTGTAAAATTTATCCACAAAGCCTATCCATTTTGGCCAAATCAGAACATGGCTGTGATCTGCTTACATTTCTCTCTGTGCTCTAATTCCCACACAAAAGAGAGACCACGTCGAACTTTCCAGGGAGAAGTATTTACACTTCATCTAATGGCCGATGTAATAAACAACTCTCATCTTAAACTCAATTTGCTGTTATCCCTCCTGGCTAGACATTGTTCATTCTCAAAAACAGGAAAGAATCTAAATATAATTCATACCTAGCTGTGGAATGCACTCAGCCCACTAGAGATGTGTCTAGACAAGCGGAAGGTGTGACCCCCCCCGCCTGTTTGGCCTCTGCCCCCTTTCATTCCAGAACTATAGAAATTGAAATAAAGAGGCTGTGAGACAGAGTGGTGAGTGGGTCAGAGGAGTGAACGCAGAGACACTCAGGGCAGCACAGGGAACACAAGACGCTGCCCTTTTCCATGAATGAGACAGACAGACCTGGTCCAAAGCCTGGTTTTACCATCACTACCTGTGGGACCTTGCAAGAATCACTTCACCACCCAGTGCCTCATTTTCCTGATCTGCAAAACGAATATTCCTCTGCCCCCTTCATAAGGTTGCCATGAGGATGAAACTAAACATAATGTACGTAAAAACAGTGCTTAGCACATAGTACACTAATGAGCGGGTGGTCATGGAAGTGTCTAGTTAGTCTCACTGATTACCTCCCCTCTACTGTTAGAGACGTGATGGCCAGGGACAGAAAAAAGGGAAGATGCTGAGGAGAAAATCACTTACAGGGCAGGACATTATTGTAGCGATTCTTTCCTCTGTTTTCAGCCAGTTCTGCTGCATATTTAGGTTGACTGATTCCAACAAGCTTCAGATCCTGAGAACAAAATAAAAGAGTTGTTCATTTATTTAAACTCCAAATATTCCTACCAAGCACAGAGCGTGACAGAACAAAGTGGAAAATGCGGAGGGGCTACGAGTTCAATTGTGCCCCTAGATGAGACGTTGGGTTTCTCACCCCCGGTGGCTGAGTGGGATCTTATTAGGAAATACTGTCTCTGCAGATGTTGTAATCAAGTTAAAATGAGGTCATGCTGGAGGAGGGTGGCCCCTTGATCCCATATGACTGGTGTCCTTATAAAAGGAAAAGAGACAGTCGTAGATACACGAGGGGAGATGGCCATGGGAATAAGGAGGCAGAGATCAGAGTGATGCTGCCACAGAACCAAGGGACATCTGGGGCTACCGGAAGCTGGAAAGGCAAGAAGGAGCCTCCCCAGGGCTCAGGAGGGAGCGTGACTCTGCCACACCCTGGTTTTAAACTTCTGCCCTCTAGAACTCTGAGACAACAAATTTCAGCTGTAAGCCACCCAGTCTGTGACGCTTTGTTATGGCAGCCCTTGGAAACTAACACAGAGGTTAAAATAAAAGGAAAAGAACAATCCTTGCTTTCAAAGAGCTAACCACATGGCGGAAAGGTTTGACTAGAACTAACTCATGTTACGACAAGGCAGAATTAAACAAATGCTGAATAATGGTAACCAGCAACATGTCACAAGTGAACAAGGCAGTCTGAGGACACAGAATTCAAGTCTTCCTACCGGGGTCTGAGAAAGCCATGGAAGAAGCAGTGTGTGCACAGTGCTGATTGGTGAGCCAAGTCAGGGGCGTGAGAGGAGGGACACTGACAGGGCAGCATGGGAGGACAGGTGTGCAGGACATGGTGAAAAGGGCTAGTCCTGGGGCTGGTGGGTACAGAGCACGGGGGTGCTAAAAGGCTCACACTCTTTCCTCATTCTTCTGGTGAATAGTCCCCTCTGGCCAGGCGTGGTGGCTCACGCCTATAATCCCAGCACTTTGGGAGGCTGAGGTGAGGGGACTGCCTGAGCCCACGAGTTTGAGACCAGCCTGGGCAACTTTGAGACCTCATCTCTACAAGAAATCAAAAAAATAGCTGGGTGTGGTGGTGCCTATCTGTAGTTCCAGCTACTTGGAAGCCTGAGGCGGAAGGATCACCTGAGCCCAGGAGGTCGAGGCTGCAGTGGCCAGGAGTGTGCCACTGCCTTTCATCCTGAGGGACAGAGTGAGACTCCAACTCAAAAAAAAAAAAAAAAAAAAATAGTCCCCTTATTGAGTTCCCACTTTCTATCTCAGTTTTGTAATTTCCAAGAAAAATATAAAAACGCAATATTTACAACCACGTACTTCATACTCCTCTGCGAACCCACAGTTGGAGTCGGCTTGCTGTTTCTTAAAATAGGCCTCAAAATTTTCCACTCTGATTAACTTAGATCTAAGAAAACAAAACAACTTATTAGGGTTTCTTACATTCAGTGAAGTTCATAATTCAAAATAGACAAACACAAGTTATAAAAAAAAAGGAAAGTTACTACTCACTTTTTAGGTCTTCATCATAGAAAGGGAAAGAAAAATATAACCAATTAGAAGACGCATTCATATTCTGGAGATGACAGTAAACATCTTCCCAAAAGAACAAAAACCAGAGTATAATTTTTTTTGGGGGGGTGGGGTGGTCAGTGTACTATTATTTACAAAACGCTAAAACGTAAATCAGGAAATCTGATTTCTAGAACCTAAGTGTAACTAATTGGCTTTGTGACTTTCAGTTTTTCTCTTCCCTTAGATCTTGATAGCCCATTTGATTTTTTTTTAAATCACAAAATAAGTATTTATTGGGAGACTAGTAGACCATGGCAGGGAAGCTGCCTTCAGGAGACTCATAAAACATAGACTCCTGGCAGAAAATAGAGCTAGCAAGAACTTTCAGATGATCATGGCCAAGTGTGTCAATCAGTAAACATAACAGCAAATTCCAAAAATTCTCTAGACAGTCATTGAACAGATTGGGGGATAAAATGTTTTAAAATAAAGCTCAAAGCTTGAATGACTTACTTAATTTGAGAAAAGGACACTTCGTTGTTCTTTGCATCTTTCCTGTTTTGAAAAAAAAGAGATGCATTAAACAAAAAACTTTCATTCTCTGTTTCCCCCTTTTGTGTTTCTACAAAATGCCTTCCCCCAGGCATAGTTCATCGATGACACAAAATCCTGTCACTAACACTAAGCTTAATGGTCCAAGCAGCAAACGCTGATTACAGATCTGTGAAGTTATCTTCTTTTCTGTCACCTAAAAATATGAAAAGAAATCGTACTGAAGCAGCTTTAGAAAAGTCCTTGTGGCTGGGAGCGGTGGCTCATGCCTATAATCCCAGCACTTTGGGAGGCCGAGGTGAGAGGATTGCCTGAGCCCGCAGGTTCGAGACCAGCCCGGGCAATTTGGTGAGACCACATCTCTACAGTAAATTTAAAAAATATCAACTGGGCATGTTGGCGCGTGCCTGTAGTTCCAGCTACTAGGAAGGCTGAGGCGGAAGGATCGTCTGCGGTGGCCGGGAGTGTGCCACTGCCCTCCAGCCTGGGTGACAGAGTGAGACTCCGACTCAAAAAAAAAAAGTCCCTGTCAACATTTATCAGCAACATGACCTTACTGTAAATCAAAACTCAGTATCTCATACTCTGTTTATGAGAAAGCTTTTGTGATGAGTTAAAGCAATAAACCAGAAGACATGTCAGATCCAGAGCTCACAGGTTGGCGAGGCACCTGCACGCTTCTGCACTGTTGGCTAAACTCGTATCAAAATGGAAAACATACCCCTGGCCATAACTGCCTAGCTTAGAATGTAGCCTAAGGAAACAACCGTGAATGTGCCCAAAGATCTAGGCACAAAAATAAGTAACTGTGGCCAGGAGAAAAAAAAAAAACCGGAAACATTCAGGAAATTCATAAATGGTGCTGCCTCCATACAGCTGAATACTCCACACCCACTTAAAACAACGATAAAATGAAGCTGCCCACTGCGTCACAAGTGAATAAAGCAGTAGACACTCACATGGATAATGTGATCCCATGTGCCTAAGAATTTGTGTGTGAGTTTGTGGTAATCACATCAAAATGCTAAGAGAGTTTTGCATGGGTGCTTAGATTATGGATGGCCTGCTTCCTTTGCTCTTCTTGTCTGTATTTTTGTTTTGCAGGGGGAAAAAAATCTGTTACTGTTTACCAAGAAACCATAAAGCGGTTTTACCCAGCCACTGACCCCTCCCTCCCCAAACCAGAATCCAACATCAAAACTGGAACACGTGCACCGCCTGTCACCTCAGCAGAGCAAGGGCAACACCAGGACCCGGTATGGGCCACGTGAGGGGCCTGGGCCTGGGCCAGGACGGAGCGTCCCTGTCTGGCAGCACCTGGCAGCAAACGAATCCCAGCTAACAGCCAGGCTTCACACCCCTACACAGTCAGACGAGAGAGGTCAGGTTCAAGTTCCACGTCCAACCTCCTAACTGGGCTTCTGTGTCTTCAGAAGGGCTACAAGACCCACCTCTCAGAGTGTCATGAAGGAGACCATTCACGAAGGCCCCAACCCAGGCCCACAGTGAGTGCTCGGAAAGGGCTACTGTTTTTACTGTTTCACTCCCTTGCGGGGCAGTTGTACAGATAAATAGTAATAATAGCTATGCAGGGCACAGACACCAAAAAGCACTTTATTTTTCCAGTGCTCCTCAGCTTGGCAAGCGAGACACAGTCACGATCCCCGTATCACAGACAAGGACACCAAGGATCTGCCTCCCAACAGCCTGTCAGAGATAGAGCCCATATTCAAACTGAGTCAACTCTGAAATGAAGTCTCCTAACACAGCCCTAGGAAACAGATTTGTGAACACAGACTCCCCTTAAAAGGAGCACTCCACTCTGTGGTGTTTACCCACAGCTGGAATCGCTAGGGGGTACAGAGGGATAGGACTGGCCTGATGCCGATTGCTGTGGGTGACGAGACCATGGCGGCTCATGACCCTATTTCCTTCCACTTTTGTGAAGATTTGAAATTTTCCATAATAAGAAACTTCCTTAGGTGCGGTGGCTCACACCTGTAATTCCAGCAGTTTAGGAGGCTGAGGTGGGAAGATTGCTTGAGTCCAGAAGTTCAAGATCAGCCAGGGCAACATAGCAAGACCTCACCTCTACAAAAAAACTAAAAAATTAACTGGGTATGGTGGCATACATCTGTGGTCCCAGCTATTCTGGAGGCTGAGGCAGAAGGATCATCTGCACCCAGGAGGGTGAAGCTACAGTGAGCCCTGATCATGCCACCGCACTCTAGCCTGGGCAACAGAGTGAGACCCCCAACTCAAAAAAAAATTTTTAAAGCTTCCTTAAATAGCAGAGTATTATTATTAACATGGGCAGCATCACCTTTTCTTTCTCCAGAAGATGAAGCCTCCCACAGCCACAATAACCAGGGCACCAAAGATACATCCAAAAACTGCTCCACAGATGACACCTGGGAAAAGTCCAGATAAAAGACACTTTAAGAGATGTTCACGCAGGACCACACGATGCACTGACAAGCAGCCCGTGGCCCTCATACCAGAGGGCTCAGGGGCGTGGGAGGTGTGTGTGCGTGCGCGCGCGCACACACACACACACACACACACACACACACACACAACTGAAGGCAGTTAAATAGCTTTGTACCTAAAACTAGCCCAGGTGTTCAGGAGCTGGGTTCCTGTCACCAGTCTGCCACTACCTGGATGGTCTTGAGAATGGCACTGTTCCTCTCCAGGTCTCAGTCTCCTCAACTGCACATTTAGAAAACTAGAATAGGTCAGAGATTTTCCTGACGCCTCTCACTTTTTGAGACTAACCCATGCGTATGAGCAGAAGCACCTATGGCACCATGCTCAGGTGACATGAAGCCCGTGGGTGTGTTGGGGAATCGTGTGGCAAACTCCTGAACTTTGCTTCTGGGGCAGGGATCCTTTCCCACACCCAATAACTACCAGGTGTAAAACCCACACAGACAAGGCTGGGCGTGGTGATTCACACCTGTAATCCCAAAACTTTGGGAGGACAAGGCAGGAGGATTACTTGAGTCCAGGAGTTCGAGACCAGCCTGGACCACCTCATCTCTATTAAAAAAAGTCAAAAACTTAGCCAAGCATAGTGGTGCCTGCCTATAATCCCAGTTACGCGGAAGGCTGAGGCAGAAGGATTGCCTGAGCCCAGAAGATCATGACTGTGGTAAGCCATGATCATGCCACTGCAGTGCAACTTAGGCAACAGAATGAGACCTCAACTCAAAAACAAACAAACAAAAAAGCTAATCGGTCCCTTTGTCTGTGGTCTAAAGATAGAAGATGTATCCTCTCGGTCCCTAAAGCTCTTAGATCACTTAGGCTTGTGTGATGAAGGGTAGGAGCACTTGACAAAGAGTCCAATACCAGAATTTCAGGCCTGCCTCTATGCTACTGTGTAACCCTGGGCAAGTTACTTCCTCTCTGGGCCTCAACAGCCTTATTTCTAAAAGGGTTATTGGATAAGACAAGTTCTGTGACTCCCTCTGATGCTAATATTCAAGGATCCAATGCACTCAGTCACACTGCATGCCGGTCACGTGGGCACACAAGGACACACAGAGACAAAGGGCCCGAATAATCGCTGCAGATTAGAAGAGCTACTGGCATTTAGAAAAGGGAGAATGTGGGGTCCAGGCTGCAGGGCCTCGAAGGATGAGGCTGAGAGAACCCAATGGTCCAGTGACATCTCAACTTCGGATGGGGAGAGCTGGCCACACCAGCCCTCCTGGGGGCCCAAAGGAGGCATGCAGATGGCAGCCTTCTGTGGACACTTGGAGCAAAACGCCACTGAACCAGCACCAGGACTGTGGATTCCCCTCTACCTGGATCCTGGGGCAAGAAGACAGCGTCTGAGTAGGGACTGAAGGACACGTAGCTCTCTGCCCCATCAATGAGTCCGAGATTGTGAGGGTGAAAGGTGATGTTGGTGAAGCCAGCCACACAAGCCCTGCGGATGACAAAGAGCAAGAAGAGGCCACTGAGACACGTCCGAACACAGGCACGTGGAACTCTACACTCATGAGGCTTGGCCCCCAACAGCAAGAAGTAAAAACCGTACCGGTAGGAGCCGAGGGGCTCCAGCTTCCCATTGTAATAGCCGAGCGTGGTTGACTCATTTCCAACATTGATCTCATATTTCAAGAGCTCAGACAAGCCCTGAGAACGTCCCTCTTCCTCTGTTCTTACAAGATATGTCACATATGTGTCCGAGGTCCCCTTTTTGAAATCATCGTAGGTATATTTCAAGACATCTGCAGAAGTGTGACCAGCTGAGAAAGGCCCAGGAAGGAAAACCATAAGAAAGTGATGACAGGACAAATAATAATAATAAAATAAAACTTAAAAATAAGAAAATTGGTTAGTATTTTGATCAATTTAAATAATCTGAATAAATTTCAATAAAATGTCATAAAAAGTGAAAAAAAAAAAGTGATGGCAGGGAAAAACTTAAGTCCCCCGCCCCCCCACATCCAAATAGTGTTGGTGACACTGCTGACAATGACACTAGCCACCACCTCTCAAGTATATCTCTGTGGTAGGTTTCACTTACAAGAAACTCTAAGAGCTTTACCTACATTAACTCACTGTGTCCCCATGAACTCACTGTGTCCCCATGAATCTCATCACGCAAGCTTCTCATCTCCATTTTACAGACAGGGAAATTAAGGCACAGAAAGCTAACGGGACCTGCCCAAGGTCACACCACCTATGAGACAGAGCTGGATTTCAACCCAGAGTATCTGGTTCAGAGCCTGGGGCCTCGCACATCACAGGCCGGCACTGGTCAGTCTGGCCACTGTGCGACACAGCCCTCTTCATTCAGCAAAGCTCTGAGCTTGGAATTCATTGAAAACCTTCACAGCAGAGTGACAAAAAGCTTGAAACAGACCCAAGGTTGAAAAGCAGAAAGATGGGTGGGCACAGTGGCTCACGCCTATAGTCCCAGCACTTTGGGAGGCTGAGGCGGGAGGACTGCTTGAGCCCAAGAGTTCAAGGCCAGCCTGAGCAACATAGTAAACCCTATCCCTATTTTAAAAAAATCAAAAAATTAGCCTGGCGTGGTGGCACACACCTGTAATCCCAGCTTCTCAGGAGGCTGAGATGGATCACCTGAACCCAGGAGCTTAAGGCTGCAGTATGCCACGACGGTGCCACTGCACTCCAGGCTATATGACAAAGTGAGACTCTGAGTCAAAGAAATAAATAATGAAACGAAATAAATGAGATGAAATGAAATGAAATGCCCTGTGACATAAAAGAGAAGAAAAACCTAGATCACAGGTTGGCAAGTTACAAGCCACGGGCTAAGTCCAGCCACTGCTTGCTGTAAATAACATTCAATGGGAACAACCCAGCTTATCCCTCGTGTACCTCTTCTGACTACTTTCACGCCCCAATGGGAGAATTGAATCGTTGCAACAGAGACTGAGGGACCTGCGAAACTTAAAATATTTGCTATCTGGCCCTTTACAGAAAGTCTATCAATCAGACAAACAGCTCACCCTCCTCTTCATGCAAGCTCCTAGCATGGGTTGCCACGTAGAGAGAGGCGCGTATCTGTACCATGAATATGTCTCGGTGGGCAGAGAAACACTCCAGTCACTGGGTCACTCATGGGCTGTGTAACCCATGGAGGCCCCTCCTTACCTTCCCCAGTGGTGAGAATGACGGCGTAGGCTTTGATGGGTCCGTGGCTGGCTTCAAATCCACTGAACTTGACCTTTACTGAATTGTGACTGACAGACGTAACGTTAGGGGATCCATCTGGAGGAGGGGGGTCTGAAACAAAACAAAACATGATCACCCCACATTTCAAACCAAAGAAGAAGCAGAATTATCAGGTAGAGAATGTGCTTCGGGGTCCGCCTCAAGATCTGTCCCTGCCCTGGAGACCGCGTGCAAATCTGTATGCAAGAGGCGGGGAAGGAAACTGGAGGCGAGACAGTGGGCATTGAGAAGCACATCTGGCTCACAATGACCCCTTGAGTATGTCCAGTCACATCCCCCTGAGTGGGTGCCCAGAGCTTTGACTGGTTTTGTTGCTGTTGTTTCTAATGGTATATGCTTTTATTTTATTTTTTAAAGCATATTATTGAGGTACAATTAGAATACAAACAAGGAGGTGAAAAACTGGTATACTGAAAACAACAAAACATTGACGAAAGAAATTAAAAGAGTTACAAATAAGTGAAAAGATATCTCATGTCCATGGATTGGAAGACTTAATATTGTTTAAATGTCCGTACTACTCAGAGTGATCTACACTTTCAATGCTGCCCCCAACAAAATCCCAATGGCAATTTTTAAAGGATAGAAAAAAATCCTAAAATTCGTATGGAACTATAAAAGATCCAGAATAGCCAAAGTGATCTTGAAAAAGAAGAGAAAGGCTGGCGGCCTCACAATTCCTGATTTCAAAATGTATTTGGAAACCTATGGTAATTAAAACAGTTACAATAAAGGTATAAAGATACAGACCCACAGGACAGAATAGGGACCAGAATTAAACTCTCACATATCCAGTCAATTGATCCTCAACAAGGGCACCAAGAACACACAACGGGGGAAAGACAGTCTCTCCAGGAAATAGTGTTGGAAAAATTGGATATCCACATTAAAAGAATGAAATTGAACCTCTACCTTATACCACATACAAAAATAAACTCTGAATGGATTCAAGACTTAAACATAAGACCTGAAACTGTAAAATTCTTTAAGAAAAAAAACACAGGGAAAAAAGTTCCTTTCTGTCAGTCTTGACAATGGTTTATCGGATATTACTCCAATAACAGCAAAAATAGATAAGTGGGAGTAAATAAAACTAAAACGTTTCTGTACAGCAAAGGAGATAGTCAATAGAGTGAAAAGCCAGCATCCTAGTCTGTTGAAGATAGCCTGCTTTTCCAAGTGGCCCAGCCCCTTCTGACTCAAAATGGGCAGGATCCTTATCCTGAGAACTGGGGTGGGAGACAGAAAGTGTGAAAGAGCTGCGTGGGCGGAACTCTAAGGTGTGGACTTGTATGCAGACACTTGAACTTGGCACCAGGATCGGTTGGTTGGTTGAGAACAAAGATGCCCAGGAAGAAGGATCAAAGATGCGATAAGGAGAAAACACACTTCCTCCTGAGACCTGGCCGCATTCCTGCTCCGTGACCTTCACACTACAGTCCCCATATTTGCTGGAGTTGGTCTAAAATGCTTCCTAGAGAAGCCCAATTACCCTCTTCCCGGAAACCAGAAAAGTCCACACAGAGACGCTGCTGGGTGACCTTCATAATTATAGTGTCCCCGTCCAAGCCAGGCTTCTAGAACCACACTCTGAATTAACACTAAAGAAGAACTTTCTGAATTAAAGGCAACCCCTCTCCACACACTCAAGCATGCAGTTTGATTTGTTCTCATTCTTTTAAGATTGAGGAAGACTAAGAAAACTGAACTCCAAAACAACCACAATGTCATCTCTAAACCTGCGCTGTCCCATATGGCAGCCACCGGCTACATGTAGCTGTGGAGAACTTCCAGTGTGACTAGTCCAAGTTCAAACATGCTATAAGTATACATTAGAGAAAAAGGTCAGACTAGTAGCAAAAAAAGGTCAAATATCTTGTTGATACCTTATACAGATTACATGCTGAAATGATAACATCTTGATATACTGAGTTAAATAAAATGTTATCGTGTTAATTTCAGCTGTTGCTTTTTAGCTTTTTTGGGAGGGTTGGGGGGGCAGGGAGACAGAGTCTTACTCTGTTGTCCAGGCTTGAGTGCAGTGGTGTGATCCCAGCTTACCACAGCCTCAACCTCCTGGGCTCAGGCGATCTTCCCACCTCAGCCTCCTGAGTAGCTCGGACGACAGGTGCCACCATCACGCCTGGCTAATTTTTGCATTCTTTTTTTGTAGAGGCAAAGTCTTGCTATGTTGCCCAGGCTGATCTCAAGCTCCTGGACTCAAACAATCCTCCTGCCTCTGCCTCCCAAAGTGCTGGGATTTCAGGCGTGAGCCACCATGCCCGGCCTCCCTTTTACTTTTTAAAAATGTGGCTTCTGCCGGGCTCAGTGGTTCAGCCTGTAATCTCGCGCCTTTGGGAGGCTGAGGTGAGCGGATTGCCTGAGCCTGCGGGTTCGAGACCCGCCTTGGCAACTTGGCGAGACCTCATCTCTACAATAAATCAAAAATCAGCCGGGTGTGGTAGCGCGCACCTGCAGTTCCAGCTACTTGGAAGGCTGAGGCGGAAGGATCGCCGGAGCCCAGCAGGTCGAGGCTGCGGTGGCCGGGAGCGGCCTCTGCACTCCAGTCTGGGCGACAGAGTGAGACTCCAACTCAAAGAAAAATAAAATAAAAAATAGAAATGTGGCTTCTGGAAAATATTAAATTATACACAGGACTCACATGGTATTCCTAGCAGATGGTGCAGTTCTAAACCATCTTCAGCAAGCCCTCGAGTAACTGACAGCAGTGACCGCTTGGAGGCACTGCTGCCACATCTGACGGTCACCTGTCTGCACAAGCCCCGGCATTTCCCGTCAGCTCTACACCTTGCAGCTGGCCAGAAAGTGTCCCTAGCTTCTACTACTCCCAGGCTGCCCGCAGCATGTAAGCTCACCATCACCAAGCCTGGACAACCTCTCCTCCCGCTGTTCTCGTCAACCCTACGCTCCAGGGACCCCGCTGGCCTCACCCACCGTAGTGTCCTATCACTCCCACTGCCATAACCTACCCATCCCTCCCATGCTTCTAAACTGCCTTAGAGAAAACACGACTCCTCTCTATGTGATGCATGTGAAATGCGTATATAAGAATTCACCCAAGGAAAGGAAGCTACAGGTCAAAAACTGTGAGAGGATCACTGAACTAGAGGATATGTGGTCATTACCCAACCCTGCCACATATTGTTCAGCTTCAGAAACAAGTCTCTCTGATGAGCTCCTGTGCTCTGTGCCAGGCACTGTGCCCAGCCCTGAAGGTGCAAAATCAGACACAATTCCTGTTCTTTCAAAGCTAATAGGCATTGAGGAGATGGCATCATGAAACAGAGCTGCAAAAATGCATACTTTGAAAAAGACACGCGGAGCAAAGGACAGAAGAAATAAAGCCAAGATTAAAAAGACATTTTTCCAAGCACACACACACAAAAGATGGAACACACAAAGATTAAGTAGGCGGACCCCTGCGTAGTAAGTGATTCGCTGTTTCCCAAAACAGCTCAGTGGCTTGTTAACATGGATTCCAGGGAAATGTGAGTCTTGACTGAATATCTGATCATATTTTTTTTGTCTTGTTAAATTTTTAAGTGTAATGCTAATATTAATGTGACTATATTAGAAAGAAAGAAAAAAATGAGTCCCTATCTTGAAATGATATAAGGTGAACACAAAAAAAACATGTCATGATCAGAACTGGTTAAGGCAACCCCGTCAGGAGAAGGGAGAAGGCATGTACATGAAACAAGACAGGCCACGTGCTGGCAGGCATTCCACTGAGGGATGACGGGTAGGGGATTCATTCTATTATCCTCCACTTTTCTATGTATTTGAAAGTTTATATAAAAATGATTTTTCAATACACTAAAGGAACTCATTACTTCAAAGAAAACATGGCAATTAGTTATTCTGTAAAGAAAAGAAAACTTTTAGTTCTTGTTTTGGTTTTGTTTTTTTTTTCTTTTTTGAGTCATGGTCTCACTCTGTCACCCAGGCCGGAGTGCAGTGGCACGATCACAGCTCACAGCAGCTTCAACCTCTTGGGCTCAGGCAATTCTTCCACCTCAGCCTCCCAAGTAGCACATGGCCACATCCAGCTATTTCTTTTATTTTTTGTAGAGATGAGGTCTCACTATGTTGCCCAGGCTGGTCTCAAACTCCTGGGTTCAAGCAACCCTCTCACCTCGGCCTCCTTGAGTGCTGGGATGACAGGCGTGAGCCACCACACCCAGCCAAAAGGAAATTTTTAGAGTGTAAAAGAACGAGTGCTTCTTATACTGCTTTTTACCCTGAATTTCTACAGAATGGGAAACTAGTCTGTGCCAATAAAAGAAAACCTCTTAGGGGAAATAAAAAACAAAAACAGATTTCTAGGCCACATTTGTGAACCCGCTGTGTCAGTCTCTCTAGGAGTAGCTACGATGCTATCTGACGCCTCCACCATGAAACCCACCTGTGATGCCAGTAACGCAGGTGTTTTGCGTGGGAGGTGCCATCTTCCCACAGGACACCGTAGTGACACTAATGTTGTACGAGGTAGAAAAATTCAAATACGTGACTTCTGTCCTGTACTCTGTGCTGTTCTCGGAGGAGCAATTCTCCAGGCGTGTCCTATTGTCCCAGGCACCACTGCTGACCCCCAGCTCGAAGCCTGTGTTGGCACCAGGAGGGCAGGCCCACCGGAGAACCAAGGACGGCTCTTTGGGGACCATGTCACAGTGGAAGGAGGCCACCGGTGCAGGATCTGCAAAGCAAGCACAGCACAACATGAGACCCGGGGACTATGGCCTTTGCAAACAGACACGTAGGGAGTAGCAGAGCCCTGGTCCATCGTGAGGAGGAGACAGGTGTGCGGCGTGGCGGAAGAGGCAGAGGCTGACCCCGAATCAGCCAACACAAAACAGCGTGACCCTGGATCAGTCACCAACCGCTCTGAGCCTTAGCTGCAGGACTGTTTAAGGACTCAGTGAAGCAACAGATGTCGGTCACCGGGCAAGATGCCCGGAAGAGGCCGGACTCCGACTTCTTCACTGCATTGTCTCATGTTGAGGCCCTCTTGACAATCCCTCTAGAATAGATACAGTTCACGCTGTCTCATTTGACAGATGAATCAACTGAGGTTTACAGAGCTTAAGTAGATTGCTGGGGATGACATGGCTGGTAAGTGGCGAAGCAAAACTGGCTCCTAGGTTTGCTAAATCCAAGCCAGGGGCACTTGAACTATACACACAACATGGTGAATAATCAACAGACACTGGTGTCAGTTTCCTCGTCTTGAAAATGGGGTGTTACCACCTAATTTTGCATTCTGGTGTCTTTTCTCCCAGTGCCAAGTATCCCTTTCCTTTGTTGAAACTGCTGAGGCATTATCTTTTCCTTCGACAATAAGAAACCAACTCTATCTTTCTCCCCTCCATTTTCCCTCCGGTTCTGGGTGTTTTGTGTTGGCTGTGGTTTTTTCTTTTTTATTCTTTGTGTGTGTGTGTGTGTGTGTGTGTGTGTGTGTGTGGCATGCTCACAGCCACCGTAGCCTCGACCTGCTGGGCTGAGGTGATCCTTCCGCCTCAGTCTTCCAAGTAGTTGGAACTACAGGCACGTGCCACCACGCCTGGCTAATTTTTTGATTTATTGTAGAGATGAGGCTTCGCCAAGTTTCCCAGGCTGTTCTCGAACGCATGGGCTCAGGCAATCCTCTCACCTCAGCCTCCCAAAGTGCTGGGAGTATAGGTGTGAGCTACCGTGCTCGGGCTGCCTTTTTTTTTTTTTTTGATTTGGAGTCTCACTCTGTCACCCAGACTGGAATGCAGTGGCCC